ACACAGTCCAACGTCTAGCGTCAAGTATTTCGTCTCAAAACTCAGAAAAACTATTTTGGCTTCAAGCTGAATAGGGATGTTTCTTAGGAGTTATCGTTCCAGTTGTATAGAGTTCACTGGTTGAGACTTTTTGACGATTTTTTGTTGGGTTTTTTTTTTCAAAGGATGTGGCTCAGCGTCTTATAGAAGCCTGCACATCAATCGCTGGCTTATCACTTGGTTCTTCCGCTTGGTTCAGCCGAAATCTATCCGTTATAACCCACCCTGGAGGGCCAGATGAAGAAATCTCGCCTGAATCCACGAGCGACACCTTAAGTAGTAGTGACGACAGATCTGAGCCCGCGAGTAAACCTGTCAGCGGTGGTAACGCGGGGAAACATAGTACCCAGGCTCTTATAGTGCTCGCGGATGTTTTGGCGTCACTTTTGGATATTGTCTTTGGAAGCGAAGAAAAGGAACGTGTGGTTAACTTCTTGTTCAACGTCATGGGCAATGTCACGCCTTATCTGAGAAATCACAGGTAAAATTAGTTCGCGTTTGTAGATTTTGTGACCGAATTTGGAGACAGATAACTTTAATATGGAGATGAAGTGAGGAATCTTGTGCTATACTCGTGGTAGAATATAACAAACGTAGAATCTCTGGGGGGAATTTTGAAGTTTTTTGCATTTGCCAACATCTCAATCATTGTCTTTTTTAGTGTCGCTAATGTTCCCAGTTTCCGAGCCTGCTGTGCGCTGGTTGCCTCGCTCAGCAGTTATCAATATACAAGGAAGGCGTGGCGTAAAGAAATGTTTGAGTTATTTTTTGAAACAGGTTTCTTCCAAATGGCTCCGGAAAGTGTCGGAAACTGGCGTATCATCATCGACAACCTGTTCACTCAAGATCAGGCCTCTTTTCGAGAGCTCATGGCGCGGGCTACGGTCACTTCAACTTCTACTATTAGTCTCTTTGGAAACCATGAACAGGTAAAATTTTATTTATACTGGATAGCTCTATCAGTTCTAAACTGTTCTTCCTAGAGGTCCAGTAAGGATCATCTCTTATTGATCCAGTGTTACTACAGGAGGAAACCTAAACTAAACTAACTTTATTTATACTGGATAGTTCTATCAGTTCTAAACTGTTCTTCCTAGAGGTCCAGTAAGGATCATCTCTTATTGATCCAGTGTTTATTTATTTCAGGAAATGCAACAGAGAGCAATGATGTTGAAACGTCTCTCGTTCGCAGTGTTCAGTAGCGAGGCAGATCAATACCAGTCTGTCCTCCCTGAGATGCAGGAACGTTTGGCCGAGTGTCTGCGCATGCCCCAAGTTCCAGTCCTCCACGAGCAAGTCTTCTTATTCTTCCGAGTGCTACTTCTTCGTATGTCCGACAACATGACATCGATCTGGCCAATGATAATCTCCGAAATGATTCACGTGTTTCTGCTCATGGAAAGCGACCTATTACAGGCGGATACGCCGTCACGTGACCAACAGATGTTCTACTCGGAGACGGTCCTGGGTGCGAGCGGCTACGTGAACTACAGTCAGGAAAAATGGCTTGGATTGTATCTGTCTGTTTGCAAGCTACTAGACATGGCCTTGTGTTTACCACAAGAACAGTTGCCTCAATTCCAAATGTACCGCTGGGCCTTCGAAGGCGCTAGGAGTCTGGGTATTACTGAGAGCGAGAGCAGTCTGGGTTCTAGTGAGAAGGCGAAGGGAATGGGCAAGAGTTCAAAGGGAGTTGGCGCCAAAGAGAACGCGAAAAACAAGACTCCTAAAGAGACCGAGGGAAAACGAAGTAGTAAGGGTATGGGCACTAAAGAGGCCGCGAAAAACCCGGGTACTAAAGAGACCGCGGGAAAAGTGGGTACCAAAGAAAGCCAAGGTAATATTGGTTCTATTTTTATACCTTACGTCAGTCGCATTACGAAACTGTTGGCGAAGCGCAAGAATATTTATGTGACGGGGAAGACACTGGAATGTCACCCTGGTCGACCATTATTGACTGTGTACCAGTTGGAATCCGTGGACGAGCTGTTGCCTTTTCTGCGCATGCTCTCTCGAGAGGGTAGGATTTTACTGGACATGCGCAGCAGCGAGCGAAGCCAGACAAGGAAATTCAAGACGGGAAACAACGCGAGGAATTTCCTAGAAAAATTGATCGAACGAGATTTCCTGGATCCGCTATCGGAATGAACTGAATGGAAAAGCGATGAATGATAGGCTGAAGGAGCTAACGGAGAGTCAGGTTTGGTAGAACGGGTTTTGGAATGAAAGAAACACCAAACTAAAATATCACCAGATAATGGTTGAAGACGAATGTCTAGTGCAAAAAAATGTGCCCCAAATAACCCTCTTTCCATTTTCATTGTATAAATGAATTTTTCGAGTTCGTATTATCAAAGCTAGTTTATGTTTTAATACGGCTATAAATTAATTTTAAACATGAAAGACATTAAATGGTAGTTGGTAGGACTTTGGGATCTCAAAATTAGTCAGTGAAATATTTACTTAAAGTATTTAAGATTTTATTTATTAGCTTTGAACAAAAATTGAATAGAATGAATCAGATTGATTTGTTGTGTGTTTAGAATTACTAGGAACACTACCTTAATTGTCACATCTCTCTAATACAGACATCTCTCTAATACAGACATCTCTCTAATACAGACATCTCTCTAATACAGACACCTCTCTTATACAGACATCTCTCTAATACAGACACATCTCTCTAATACAGACATCTCTCTAATACAAACATCTCTCTAATACAGACATCTCTCTAATACAGACATCTCTCTAATACAGACATTTCTCTAATATAGACATCTCTCTAATACAGACATCTCTCTAATACAGACATCTCTCTAATACAGACATCTCTCTAATACAGACATCTATCTAATACAGACATTTCTCTAATACAGACATTTCTCTAATACAGACATATCTCTAATACAGACACCTCTCCAATACAGATACCTCTCTAAGACACACACCTCTCTTTCTTGTACTTTAGAAAGACTGAACTGAACCTCACTCAATATTTATGAAATGCCAGGCCATTATTTATTGTACAAAGCCATGAGATATCTCACAAGATTATCCAAGCAGTTCTTAGCTTCAGAATTTGGAAAAATTTCCAGACTTTTCAAAGCTGAATTACCATAGTCATTAGCTAAGTCTTCAAGACTTTTAAATATTTCAAAGCTTTGCAGTTGTTCCTTCATAGTTTTTTCCACAGAGATAAAGGTGTTCAGAGATTTTGTAAGTTGATCTGGAGATAGAATGTGCTTATTCTCTATGATTGCTGCATTGTTCAATGAGATTGTTTCTAATTCACCCTTGAGTTCTTGAAAATCTTTGGAGATTTTCTGAAGATGGGCCAGGTTCTTTCCAAATGCAAAACCAGCATCTTCATACTAAAATTAAGATAAATTTGATATCAAACACACATTGCACACTAATTAAATTGCTACAATTGGTTCAATTCACTTCCAAATTGTTGACAAGTTCTTAAATGAAATCATAGCAAGTTGTTAGGACAACCTGTGGAAAATCTGGTTTGCTTAAAATAAGAGTTTACCTTTGGCGACAGTGAGCATAATTTTATTGTTGCCAAACAACTTTTAGCAAAGAGACTCCCTCGAGATTTGAACCCAATATCTTCCCAATCATCCAAACTTGTATCTTGTACAGTTTTATAATCTTTGAGTGTTTCACCTTCAACAATATCACCAATAACGCCGGCCAAAATATCAACAACTTCCGCATTTTCCAGTTCAGATAAACCAACCGATGCCTTGGCAAGGAAGAAATCCCCAGTCAGAACTGTTATTTTATTCCCAAAGTTCATAATCTTGGTGTCATCCGAAGGTTGGAAGTCTGAATTATTTACCATACCAAGATGAACCATGTACCCTGTAATATGACATAAGAATAACACTCCAGTTTCAATCTCATTATATAGATCAGTTTCAACAGCACAGGGGCACAGAATACCTACCAGAAGTGGAACTCTATACTATTTTTTCGTAAGTGTGATTCGTCATGATTCGTCACTTAGCAAGTGCATTTTTTTGAGGTAGTCACCCCCCTGCCAATACTAAAAATGGCTTGATTTTAGACAATGGCAGGGGGGTGACTACCTCAAAAAAATGCACTTGCTAAGTGACGAATCATGACGAATCACACTTACGAAAAAAGTACAGGAGTTCCACTTCTGTAAGGTATTCTGTGACAGGGGTGACAAAAAGGGTAAGTCTGGGACCTAACCCACATCAAAATTTTCCTATGGGGGAGGGGGGAGGTCTGGCATGTAATACAATACCTGGTACCATACCTGCATTAATCATCTCGGCAACCTCCGCCAGTTTACGTTGTTTCTGCTGTATCCCGCTCACCTCCTCTTCTCCCAGGGGGGGGGCACCCCCTGACATTAACCCCTTTCCACATCTCGACAACAATAATATAACCAGCCCCACTGTATCAAACCCCTCTGTGCCATCATAAAGCAAATTTCGAGCAGTTTTTAACAACGGATGCCTAGAACCAACCAATTTCTTACTATGCACCAAAACATTTGAAACCTCATCGCTCAAAAGGCAACGCAGTAGGTTGGTCTGATACCCCACAACTTTCTCCGCCGCAGACGCTAAATTATCCAACTTTGACGAGCTTCCCGATGAGTTTAACCTCCTCGAAGCAAAACAAATACTCGCAGGTTCATATTTCAAGCGTTTAACAAAATTTATGTATCGCAGGGGACTTGTAAATGCGAGTTTTGTTGGTGAAATTTTTTGGAAAAATTGAGCAGCCATGTTTGGGCTATACAGAACAAGTTGATAGGATTAACCTGGGTTTAACGTTAACTCGCTGGGTTAACCCTAATCATCCATAAAACTAATCTGAAACGTAATCTTAACTTTGATAATCGCAAGGATTAAACTCGGATATTTAGGATTTACCGAACCTGATCACCAAATTTGAGAAATTTCAAAATGGAGGAAAAAGATGATTTTGAAGAAAATGATCCATCAGACGAGGTAAAAAATAACTTGGATTTGCCCGGAAAATGCTCGGTTTTTATGCTTTTTTGCAAACTTCGGTATGCATCCTTTGTGCAAAGGCTTTCTTTGCTTGCTCTCTCTTGCAAATTGCGATGGTAATTTTGCTTTTAAAACAAAGTTTTTATGTAAAATCTTGTGTAAAATTTTATGACCTTGTTCATCGTTTTAGGCTCAAACGCCCGACGTCAACTCAACGGCTGTTGTTAAATACACAAAAATGGGACCGATTGAAACATATTCAACGTTAGAACTTGTAAGTCATCAAAGAACTGCCTTGCAATTTCTATATTTCAGTTGTTGAAGCAAAAAATATCATCAAATTGCGGTCTAATGAGTCTATTTTGTTTAGAACACGGACATAAACCAGCCTCCAGATAATTGGCTTCACGACAGTCTTCAAGGAAGGTTTAGTAACTGGACCTCAGCCAGACATGAGCCTCCAAATGACTTGTCAAGGTATAAATGCTCTGCTTGTGTGGTTTTATTTTCTCTGAGATGTGGACCACTTTGCTTGTAACCTTCTCCTTTGAAGCAGAAGTCATCTCAACCTGGTGCAACTCGCTTTTACTAACCAACCACACAGTATAATTGCTAGCATTCAACTCAATTTCACTGAAATATACAGGCGCCAGTTGTATCAAGCTTGTTTGGCTTAAACAGTGGATAAGTCAAAATTAAATAACACTCTTACATCTCTCTTGAATGAGTCAACTTGAATATTATGCACTGAATATGTAGTTGTAAACAGTATCTTTGTATTAAGGTTAAAAACATTTAGTTCGCTTGTTGAATGGACGATAGACTTGCTTTCTATTTTGAACTTATCCACCGTTTAGGCTAAACGGGCTTGATACAACTGACCCCAGATGTTGGTGATTATAAACCTGTTGTATCACATTGAACTAATGTACCATATTATTGGAGCTTTGTTTTTTTATAAATCTAGTTTTAATATGGCCCATTCATTTCTGGAAAACATTGACGATGTTGACGTCATCTCAGACGCAGAGGTAATATTCGATTCCCAGAATTTCATTGATTTTGCTCCCACAAGACTGAAGTTAACTTGAATAAAAGGAGTGTATGTGTAAAGGAAACAGAATAAACTAGAATGAAATGAATGGACTTGTAAACATAGTGAACTGAAGTAGATTATAATGGAACAGGGTAAATATTCATATCAATGAAATCAAACTGGAATCACAAAGAACCAATGAAACAGATTAGCCAATAGCTTAGTTTGAATAACATAAGACTTTTTAATCTCTTTCAGAACATAAAGAAATTGTTAAAGATGCCTTTCAGGTAAATTTGTGCATTTAATGCTGTGTCTGTTGGTACAATTAATCAACCTGATGTAATTCAATTATATTTCATGTAAAACTACTGAATATATTTATAGCAAAAATGGAATAAGTCTGAGTGTGAACAAAGTTGGTAAAACATTACTTCTGGATGAATTTGATGTTCAAAATGTCCTCAGCCAGGCTGCACAGGTACAGTAAAGTGAAAAATCACTTTCACCAAGTGCATATCTTTTTTGCAAAACATTGAAGAACTCTGTGCATTTTCTCTCAGACTGCCATAATTAATGCCTCACAATGTTGGATTTCAGAAAGAAAAACTTGAGGATATGCAATGGCTACAAGATGTTTTCAGCGAAGAGGCGAATATGGAAAAGGTAAGTGACAAAAATGATCCTAATCTCTTTTTTTGAGAGCTGATTTGTCAAATATTTGAATGGTTCTTTCTTTAGAATCAAACCTCGCTTCGAAGAAAAAAAAATCCAAGAGACAGTCGAGAGAGAAATATGATGTCAAAATTCTTGTGTTACAGGTCAGTAATGTTATGTTTCAGCAGGATTGTTTAGGGGGGTTGAATTTTTGAGGTCACACCCTCTGTCAGTTCTGAGGGAGATGTTTCAAGCATTTGAAATATTTCCATCATTTTATTGCATTCTCTTATTGACTTGTAATCTACTTTCATTTCTATCAGTTCCCCTGATGTAAATATTGAGCCAGATCAAAATCAGTTTTCATCAGATATTACAAACCAGTCTCATAATGCAACGAACATTCAGACCATTCAACCATCCAGTTCCTGTAGAGACCTTGTGCCATTTCTCCCAGAGCCTTTTCCTAAGGTAAGATTTGCATGAACTGTTCACATGATTTATGATAGAATATAATATTGGACAGAAGATGAGACGAAGAGTGATACAGAGAACTTACTGGAACAAGCCTTTACTGAATAGAGAGGGGAGTTGATAGAAAGAGGGGCTGAATAGAGAGGAGAACTTGATGGAGAGGGGGTTGAATGGAAAGTAGGACTTGGTAGAGAGGGAGGGGCAGAAAAGAGAGGAGGACTTGATGGAGAGGGGGGCTGAATGGGAAGGAAAACTTGATGGAGAGGGGGCTGAATGGGAAGGAAAACTTGATGGAGAGGGGGCTGAATGGGAAGGAAAACTTGATGGAGAGGGGGCTGAATGGGAAGGAAAACTTGATGGAGAGGGGGCTGAATGGGAAGGAAAACTTGATGGAGAGGGGGCTGAATGGAGAGGGGAAGGTGCTGCTGAGACGAGAAAAACCTGGTGGACAGGGGGACCCTGAATAGAGAGCAGAACTTGAGAAGAGAGGGGCTTTTTAGGGAATACGACTTGGTGCAGAGGGGGGGAATGGAATAGAGAGCAGGACTTGATGGAGAGTGAGGGCTGGATAATATAGCAAGAACCTGGTGCAGAGGGGGGATGAATAGAGAAGAAAAATTGATAGGAAGGGGCTCAATAGAGATAATATAAAGTGGAGGGAGAGTTTATCATATCAGAAAAACTCTGATGATCTAATTTTTGCTTTCAGCCCCAAGAAAAATCACGATTCCAACGAAATGTTTTATGGAAATTTGAAGACACAAAAATGTTGATCGGTTCAAATATGCCAATATTTGGTGGTGGGAAATACCCGGCTGTCAGCCTGAGATTGAAGTAAGAAAGATTTCAAATCATATATTTATTATGCTGGGGCCGGTTGTATCAAGCCCGTTTAGCTTAAACGGTGGATAAGTTCAAAATAGAAAGCAAGTTTATCGTTTTATTCAACAAGCAAACTAAATGTTTTTAACCTTAATACAAAGATACTGTTTACAACTACATATTCAGTGCATAATATTCAAGTTGACTCATTCAAGAGAGATGTAAGTGTGTTATTTAATAATTTTGACTTATCCACCGTTTAAGCTAAACGAGTTACGAGTCCCCGAGCGTGCAAGGTTACTAATTCCGCTGGGAGATTTATTACACCCGGGTATTGTGAATGTTACTCGTGCGCACGCGCACAATTTGAACGAGTGAAGACTGGTAATTAGCAACTTGCTGATTGGCTAAGACGAAACGTTTGTGTTTCAGTGAAAAACGTCAGCAATTTAACGGTCATTTTGCAAAGTATTTTTTAAAAAAATGTTTTCAAAACACAATATGAAACAGTTTAAAATATCATTAAAACTGGAAGAGTTAGCAGTGAAAAGGAACAACTTGTTGTTGATAATCCTTGAAATAGTAGGTGTCTACTTTGTTTATTTCGAGGTTTATTTCATGTTTGTTGTACGAATACATTTTATGACCTTGGTACAGTATGTCGTTTTGCTCGGTTTTGCGAAAACATAACCGACTATTTAAGCTTTACATCATCGTTTTAACTTCAAAAAGAGTTTTTAAAAGCGTTATTCGGAGTTTTGATATAACAAATGTATCGCTTTCAAGCTTTTATAGAGGCGACTGCAATCACAGTATGAATTCAATAATCGAAAAACAACATTCGACGTATAGTGCTTGGTTATTTATATTATTTGTGCTGTTTTGATGTTTTGAAGGCTTAGTTATAGTGAAGTATCAACTCTCACTTAAACTGTGAAAGTCTATAACTTCATGCAACGTAATACAGCAGGAAAACGGGTGATTTCACTTCACCTTTAATTTTAATACGACTGTGTTTGTTTCGGAAAAGTTTGAAACATCAGCTATCGACTTTACATTTAGGTCATTTCAAAATATTGAAGGTTAGGTCTGTCTAGCTCAGGAAATATTTTGCTTCGTTTGAAATGGCGAGGGGTTGCTGCATGCATGTATTTCTAGTATTTAGGCTTTAGAAAGTCAGTGTTCTCTTTAGTAACATTGGTTCTTCATTATTCTCAGCGACTGCTCCAAACCTATCAATGTTTTGACCGGCCTGGATTACTGGCTTGATAATTTGATGTGTAATGTTCCTGAGGTCGTTATGTGCTTTCATATGGATGGTATTGTGCAGGTAAGGTGATAAACTAATAATGATACATGGCTTTTGAGAATGACAGTTTACATGAGAGTTTCATCTACTATCATTGCTTGATCAAACGAGAACAAGAGTTGCATGAGAGTTGACAAGCGAGAGTTTACATGAGAGTTTCATCAACTATCTTTGCTTCATCAAACGAGAACAAGAGTTGCATGAGAGTTGACAAGCGAGAGTTTACATGAGAGTTTCATCAACTATCATTGCTTCATCAAACGAGAACAAGAGTTGTATGAGAGTTGACAAGCGAGAGTTTACATGAGAGTTTCATCAACTATCATCGCTGGATCAAACGAGAACAAGAGTTGCATGAGAGTTGACAAGCGAGAGTTTACATGAGAGTTTCATCAACTATCATTGCTTGATCAAACGAGAACAAGAGTTGCATGAGAGTTGACAAGCGAGAGTTTACATGTGAGTTTCATCAACTATCATTGCTTGATCAAACGAGAACAAGAGTTGCATGAGAGTTGACAAGCGAGAGTTTACATGAGAGTTTCATCAACTATCATTGCTTGATCAAACGAGAACAAGAGTTGCATGAGAGTTGACAAGCGAGAGTTTACATGAGAGTTTCATCAACTATCATTGCTGGATCAAACGAGAACAAGAGTTGCATGAGAGTTGACAAGCGAGAGTTTACATGAGAGTTTCATCAACTATCATTGCTTGATCAAACGAGAACAAGAGTTGCATGAGAGTTGACAAGCGAGAGTTTACATGAGAGTTTCATCAACTATCATTGCTTGATCAAACGAGAATAAGAGTTGCATGAGAGTTGACAAGCGACATATTTTCATGTCTAGAAATACGAGCATTACAAAACAGACGAACTTCCACTTATCGAAGGAAGTCAATTCTCACCTGGGGTAAGTTGTTCCAGCTGTCTTTCCTGAAATAAGCTAAAATATCCCCAAATCAATCCTTTGCATCTAGACTCGGGGTTCTACTGACAGCAAACCTACGAATGAGGGTATTCCTTTGCAATGATTCTTGCATTGCTTCACCATCAATATTTATAACAAATGCAGTGTGATATTATGTTTCAAGGTAATCAAAGACGTGGCTAGGAATATTCTATCATTTTTAAAATCCAACTGCACTTTGGAAGGGCACACGTATTGGCTTTTCAAAGGTACGCTGAGTCGGTGAGACCTTTTTTTGTTTCCAGAAAATGCAGAGTCTTGAAACTCGCAGAGGGCAGATTTCTGTGAAAATCAAGACTATCGTTCATCGCCGTTCATATAAATCCTGTCCTTTCCATTTATGTAAAAAATTCAAGGAAGGTTTAGTATATAATCGCCCTAAAATGATATAATCATATCTTTCTTTAAGGCCATGTTACATGGTGCAATTTATTCTTGCAGCTTGCAATGCAATTCTACTTCTAAGAGATGTAAATTAGCGAAGAGTCTTGCAGAAGATAAGTGCATGAAGTGTAATAAACACAAGAGTTTCGTTGTTCCCAAATATGCATCTCTCAAAAGTAGAATTGCATTGCAAGTTGCAAGAAAAATTGCACCGCCTAACATTGCCTTTAATCTCTCTGATGCAGGCCACGGTAGCGATGTTGTGAAGCTTTACGATTTAACTTCATTATGTGACAAGGTATTAAACTAAAAAAATCTTATAGAAACCGAAAAGAGGCCATCCTCTTGAGACAAGGCCGAAACTAGAACGATAATTGGGGGGGAGGTGTTTATTCATATATTCAGTACTGCCCGACGGATTTATTTTATAAGCACTTCGAGCAGAACTGGGTATATGAATAAATACCCCCTCACATTATCGTTTCTAGTTTCGGCCCTGTCTTTTGGCTTTGACAAAGCAAAACGATGTTATATTACTTGCTTTATAAATAAGCGCTCACTAATACGAATCTGTGATGAATATCTCCTTGTAGACCTCAGACGAGTCGGCTAATCCGTTTAGCATACCAGTAGCAATGTTACTTTACAGGTATAGTGATTGCTATTTACTGGGGATTTTTTATATAAACGTAAGAATTCTTCGACAGATTAAAATATCGAATATTTTTTTATTCAGAGTGGCAAAAAACATGATGAATCAGACTACGATTACAGACAGGTAATAATGCTTTAAATATATGTGTTATCAAAGACATGTTTCAACGTAACTTGTCTGAAATACAACCGCTTTATTTGATTTCAATTTTCAAATATTTAAAATTTCATTGAAAAGCGAAGTATTTGTTATAGGTAATAGCATGGATAATGCAATAGGATTAGCGATTTTATTTGTGTGTTTTTTGTAATGAATTTCATCTGAAGATGGAAAATGAAATGTATTATGAAGGTTGAACATTGCTATTCTAAAAATGCATCCATCGTTCTTTTTGTTTCAGGGAGCAAAATATGGTTCAAGTTTTGCTGACAAACTGTCTTGATCTCCTTAACAACGAGCCTCGACCTGACGACCATCTTGAGATAATTACGTCATCGCATTACCTCCTAGCTGAAGTGTTCTCATTGGCTGATCAGAGAAATGAAGAACAAATTCTAGGAAATACAGCAACTGAGGAAGGCGCTAATAGCGAATGTCGAGATGACGACGCGTTTCCCTGGCCTAAGGTGACTCATAGATTTTAAAACGAGAATATTTTTTAAAGACATCGTTGGTCGCATTTAAACCAGCTACCGCCAGCCTCGTAGCCAGGCGCTTTCATATTAAAATAAAGTTGCATTCAGTTATTATATAGAGGTCAGGTGAAAAAAGGCGAGTGCGCAGGGGTGCTTGGGGGTGCTATCGAAAGTGCTCTTTTTTCTATTTTTTGCCTACATCGCGCTACCTTAAGATAGAGTCTATTGTTGGGTACAAACTCACAACTAATGCGCTCATATTTCTTTTTAGACGTTAGCCATCAGCGATCTCTCAAAATCAAACAATTTCGAAGAATCATTCGAAGAGGTCAGTGTTTTTCTGTGAAATTTAAACCAGCTGAAATACCTGTTGAGATTACAATAGCCTTGCGTATAATCCCAAAAGTATTTTCTATTGAAAATGGTAAATCGGTTTTTAACTTTTCATGTAAACATGAACTATCTTAGGTTCAATTGACAAAAAAGAACTGAACACATATTTTTTTAGGTCGCTGTTGATGTTCCAGTGAACGTTCATGAAAAACTCCAAATTTCATTGTCGCATGTTGTTAAGGTGAGGTCATTTGCAGATTTTTAAAATTCATTTTTACTTTGGTCTTTTCTTCTTTTAAGCTAGCGAGTTCTTGCGAATTTGTGCACAGAAAATATCGATCAACTTTCAATCTATATGTATGGAAACGATTTCTGAATATCGTTTGAACTCGCTTTGTAAGAGTGGAGGCATTTCACGAGACTGCATTTAGCGTTAACTTCACTGTTTCTAGGCTTTGAAAAGTCTTCGCAGGTCTTTGGAAGATCGTAAGTTCTCAGCCAACGAGACTAAACGTCAAACGGTGCTGCCCAGTCGTCCCTACATCCTAGCATTACCTGACGCGACTTTCACAGCGAAGACTGGTGATGAATTTGTCCCCCACGTGACCGAAAGTGAGAGTACCGATGAAATGACCCCCCTGAATTTCAACTTCCGCCAATGGCAAGGCACCTTTGAGTCCGTTCTGATACGTAAAGCCGCTGGACTCTATTCGGATTTAGCATCGCTGGCTCACTCCGACCGCGCCCACGGTCTTGCACTGCGGTATCTTCGGCTATCCCTTCTACTGCTGTCTTCATACCGTAATCTTGAATGGGTGAATTCTAATCAAGAGTTGGACCTATTACCCACAGTGCTCTGCGGGTGTGGTGACGTATACATGTCAATGGCGAAGTCAGGTGATCTCACGCAGTGCTTGGAAGCAAGTGAAAAGGATTATGGGACAGCAAACGAGTGTGATTTATATTTCGATGCAAACTATAGAGTTGGCAATGAGAAAGTTTACCAACTTCAAGTTGACTTTACCCCTGATGTTGAGAAACTCTTGCTGAAAAGGTATTTTGCAATGCACCCAGATGTGGCCTACTTTAGTATTTTACTCTGTCTAATGTCAGACGATTTTACTCATCAGTGGAAGAGTACTGTCAGTTAATAAGTTAACAAAACTATCTGTCAGTGTCTCTTGTTGACCCATTAGCTTGCAATGCATCCAGATGTGACCTACTTTAGTATTTTACTCTGTCTAATGTCAGATGATTTTACTCATCAGTGGAAGAATACTGTCAGTTAGTTACATAAAACTATAATTTTTTTCTTTTAGTGAAAATCTTTATAAGCGAGCTTTAGACGTTTCAAATGACTCCTGTCAAATTGAGCGTCTAGTAACCGTGACCAGAAGACTGGGAAATATTAGAAATGAACTTGGAATGCTTTATATGAATACCGCTGTTGATATGAGTGTTGGCGCGAATGATGAAACACCGGAACTTTACTGGAAGAAAAGTTTGGATGCGTTCAGCGCTGGGATACGAGCCTTTGAGGCCGTTGATGACAGGTACTCGAGTCAAGGTTTCCTAAGAGATGATCCTTAATGGACCTCTAGGAAAAACAGTTTAGAACTGATAGAGCTATCCAGTATAAATAAAGTTAGTTTAGTTTAGGTTTCCTTCTGTAGTAACACTGGATCAATAAGAGATGATCCTTACTGGACCTCTAGGAAGAACAGTTTAGAACTGATAGAGCTATCCAGTATAAATAAAGTTAGTTTAGTTTAGGTTTCCTCCTGTAGTAACACTGGATCATTCTGTGTTTTCAGACAGAACGTGGCTCTTCTTCACTCAAACTCTGGTCGTTTGATGCGTCTTTGTGCGCAAACTCTTTTCAATCATTCTGACAAACAGGGAACAATCAGCGCCCAGGAAAAGGCTTACTACATTTCCGCTATTGAACATTACCAGAAGTCACTTATGAAACTGGGGGAGCGAAAGTCATTCCCAGAAGTATGGGACCAAGTCACGTGGGATCTATGCGGGACTTATTACACGATGGGAACCTTGGTTCAAGATTATTTTTCATTGGAAGATTCTGAAACTGAAACAGTAAGTATTCGTAATGAATAATCTCTTGTTGACAATCAATAATCATCAATTAATAATCTTTTAGTTGTCTTTTAGTTGTCCTTTTAGTTGTCCTTTTAGTTGTCCTTTTAGTTGTCCTTTTAGTTGACTTTTAGTTTTCCTTTTAGCTGTCCTTTTAGCTGTCCTTTTAGTTGTCCTTTTAGTTGTCCTTTTAGTTGTCCTTTTAGTTGCCTTTTAGTTGTATTTTTAGTTGTCCTTTTAGTTGTCCTTTTAGTTGTCCTTTTAGTTGCCTTTTAGTTGTCCTTTTAGTTGCCTTTTAGTTGTATTTTTAGTTGTCCTTTTAGTTGCCCTTTTAGTTGTCCTTTTAGTTGCCTTTTAGTTGCCTTTTAGTTGTCCTTTTAGTTGTCCTTTTAGTTGCCTTTTAGTTGTATTTTTAGTTGTCCTTTTAGTTGTCCTTTTAGTTGCCTTTTAGTTGCCTTTTAGTTGTATTTTTAGTTGTCCTTTTAGTTGCCTTTTAGTTGGCTTTTAGTTGTATTTTTAGTTGTCCTTTTAGTTGCCTTTTAGTTGTATTTTTAGTTGTCCTTTTAGTTGTCCTTTTAGTTGCCTTTTAGTTGTATTTTTAGTTGTCCTTTTAGTTGTCCTTTTAGCGGTCACAGTCAATAAGCATTTGTTGGTAATCATTAATCTCTTTTTGATAATCAAAAATCTCTTTTTGATAATCAATAATATGACTGTTTTGATAAACAATAATCTCTTGCTGATAATAATCTGATTAGCTTTGTTGTCTCTCGTAGTGTGAGAAAGAAGTGTCAGATTTGATGTTCAAATCTTTGAAACTTTGCGAAGGTTTGAAATTTTCAAACGAGGAGATGAATTCTGACGTGAAACATCGAATTGGCTCGATTCACTATCGTCTAGGTTCACTGTATCACAATTCTTACAGAATGTTGGTAGGTTCCTCAGTTTAAACAGAGTTTAAATTCATATTTTCAAGCGAGTTTTACTTTTGATTGTAAAAATGATAAAATATAAAGCTTTACTGAAATATTTCTGTTGTTCAGTCTCCGACCGACTCAAACTCGAAAAAGAAACGGCACCTCGCGGAACTTCACTACAATAAAGCCGCTGACCAGATTGACGTGACGTCATACCCGACCGAGTGGCTCAGACTAAACCTGGAACGAGTGGCCTTGTTGGAACACCAGCTCAGCAGCGCGCGAAGCAAAGGGAGTGGGGCAAGTAAGATCTATGATTCGATATTGGAGCTTTTATTGGAATCAAAGCATGCATTTGAAGCATATAAAGGTGGGACTGATACGTTTTTATCGCGTGATAACGTTGTGTGTGAGAGAATGGGTCCTAGTCTTGAGGGAAAACTTCATTTTTCTGGGGAAACAAAGTCTGAAAATTCCAGCAAAAATGAAAAAATTGGGGAAGTTTTAACCAGTCAGAAACAGCCTGTTGGCACTGCCGATAATTCTGGCGACAACTCGGCGCAATACGGGACAAATTATTCGGCCAAACAGGACAGGAATAATGAACTGGGAAATACGGTTGATGATGACGATTCAAACGAATTTTTAAATCTTCTTCAAATTTTTGAACAAAGATTGAAAAATTGTCTGAAGGAGAATCTTAAACTTCGTACTGGTGGTAGAGCTACCGCGAGCACGCAGGAGAAAGAACGGGAGAACGTTCTTAAACGGATATTCGAGGTCACGCTTCGGGCAAGCGTGACACGGAAACCCAAAACGTCGAGTCCAGCAGAGCTGTGTAAAAATGTCTTGGAAACTATCGCCGTTATAGAGAAATTGCTAAATAATACTGATATAAATTGATTTAAAATTTGTATTTAAAACCAGGCAGAAAAAATATGAAACTATGATGTAAACTCTCGCTTGTGCAACTCTTGTTCTCGTTTGATCAAGCAATGATAGTTGATGAAACTCTCATGTAAACTCTCGCTTGTCAACTCTCATGCAACTCTTGCTCTCGTTTCCAACTAAAAATTAAAAAGTCGCGAGAAAATTAGCGCGCGCGCGTTTATGACATCAAAATTAGTTTTATGACCTCAAGAAAACTTCATTTTGCGTTTAATGCGCGCTCTGGACCCGAACACTTTTCAAAATTTTGAAATAGCGAGTGAAAAGGGTACGAAGTTATGGAAGACTCAAGTAATTTTTCAGAAAATGATAATGATCGGGCTACAAGGTAAGATTTTGAACCGTTTCACTTTAAAATGTCGATAATTGTTGCATGATTTGTTTATTTATTTATATCATTGTAGCTGTGAATCAGAATCAATTAAGGAAAGCCTATGTTGGGCAGATTTCTTCAAAGATGTTGGCACACAAGTTAGTATTTTGTTATTAATGTCATTCCTAGGAAACATAACATAATGCTTTTCAGAAAGACTTTGCAAAAAAACTCTGTCAGAAACTCTTTAAACAAGACACGATTTTGTGTGGAATTTCTTTGAAAAAAGTCTTTAAACATATATTATTTTGAGCTCAAAATTACTTTCTCGAAACGTTTTATAAATACTTTATCAAACATGATTTTGAACATCTTTAAAATGGTATAATTTCAATCCACAGAAATTCTTTTAAAACTATTCCTTTCTGAGGGTTTCTTACAAAAGGCGGTAGATTATTAGTCACATTTACACAACTTATTTTGTACAAAAGGCCGTAGATTATTAGTTATATTTACTGATTTTTCAAAGTTTTGTGAATTTTTTTCCCGGACCTTAAAAAAACAGCGTTTTTTTAGGTGGAAGAAAGTGACTTGCTTGAGGAACGTGATTCTCTTCAAGAAAGCGCGGTTCCTGACATTTCCCCAGCTAGTATCGGGATGTGTGCTACAGGCGTGGCTGAAACCTTCTCTATCGTTGATGACAGTCGTGTGTTTGGGACTGCAAAGATGAATACCGAACCTCGTCTTACGTTTATTCTGCCTGCAATAATATCAGCGTTTGATGAACGTGAGATTCTCGCACAATCAAAAACTTCAGTAAGTGTTTATTTCATTTTAAAACCATTCATGTCCTCGTGTGTAAATTTCACATCTTTAAAAACATTTACTCGCCAACACGCCGATTAAAAATTTTGATAAACTGAATCTGTAGGTATATCTATCAAGGCTTTGAATGCTGGACCAGGGACCGGTCGTTCAAAGCTGGGTTGGCTTTTTTGCACCGCTGTTTGTTTCAAGACTTTACAAAATAAGACTTCTATTCATCCACAAAATATTTATGAAAAAACATGTTCAACTTCGTAAACAAGCGATTAAACAAATTTGATGTGAAAATTTGAGTCAACCTTGGGTTAAGCTAACCGGCTTTTGAACAACTGGCCCCAGGCGTTCTACATTAAACGAGAAAATCTCTGATTTGTTGCTTTGTAAAGATTAAGGAAGCCTTTAAAAAACCCCAGGGGGGATTTGAATTAATTTACTCATTCTGAGGGCTTCTATAATACTCTATTAATCACTATCTAGGATCCACAAGCTATGACGTCACAATTTATGAAATCACAGGATATCACCTCGTTACCAATGTTGATAAAACCTCTGACCTCAGAGACTGTCAACTCAACTACTATGACATCATTGCAGTCCAATGTGACCGTGGTATTCCCGCCAATAACTTCCGTAACTATGGGAACCATGACGTCAGCACAGATGACCTCGGTATTCATGACAACACCAACTACAACGTCAAATCAAGCCACCCTAACAAACATCACGATGGCGTCTGTAACTATGACGTTACCAACAATGACGTCATCGGGTTCGTCATCCACATCCCCCCCTGTCATTTCAAGGAAAGAGTTGATTTCACCAACGTTAAACAAGAATATATCACAAATTAATCCAACTGATCCTCCCGACACCTCTGTGGATGGAACTAGCGATCTGAGCGACTTAAGAAAATCCCCCAGAAGACCTTCATTCAACCAATCTGGCGAGGCACCACCTTCAGTTTATCAAACCCCTTCACCGCGCCCGCGAGACATCAGCTCAGCGGAAAACCCATGCAAAGTTTCATGGACAAATTTGAATGCAGAGAAACAGACATCACGAGAAGAAAGTAATGAAATTGAACGACATTCACTGACCGAAACTACCGAGGAACAAATATCCCAGGAACATTGTACCCTGGGCGAAAGTATCCCGGATAAAATTACTTCTGGGACAAGTGCTTGCAAAGAAATCTCTTCTGAGAATTGTATGAGCGAAAAATGTCTTATACAAGCGACACAAGTCATGAAAAGTTCAGAGATCTCTGGAACAGAAGCGGCTGGAACTACCAGTCTGGAAGCACGTAAATTAGACTGTTCTAGTCCTGAAATGACCGCTAGCACTAGCAGCGCGGGCACTGCTGTCAGCGGTAGAAAGAGGAGAAGAACTGGCCCAAAGTCGTCTAGGAAGGGTAGGAAGAAGAGAAGTAAGATTGTTGTTGAAAGTCAGAACGATGACGGAGAGTTGCGAGGGAGATCGTCTCGGAGAGGCTCGGATGAAACTTCGTTTCAAGCTGAGGTAACGATTTAGTGATTTTACAAAAATATTGCACCCAGATGTGGCCTACTTTAGTATTTCACTCTGTCTAATGTCAGATGATTTTACTCATCAGTGGAAGAGTACTGTCAGTTAATAAGTTAACAAAACTATCTGTCAGTGTTTCTTGTTAACCCATTAGCTTCCAATGCACCCAGATGTGACATACTTTAGTATTTTACTCTGTCTAATGTCAGATGATTTTACTCATCAAAATATTTCGCATTAATGCTGTTTACCGATCTCTTGTAATGCAAAATTGAATTTCTCCAATCAGGAAGTGGAAAACAGTAAAGAAAACACCTTCAGAGGAAGTCGTGTTGGAGGACGATCTTCCCCAACCAACACAAGACTTCGTTCAAGAATGCGCGGGAAATCTTCTCATGACGTCATAGCCAGCAAGAATGTCGTGGACGATGACTCTCCCAATCATGACGTCATACCGACTAATGACGTCATGGAAGCGACTGGCGTCACGTCAACACAACCGTCCTAAGTGATTCGAATAGAAAATGCTCAAAACATAAACATTTTTTTTTAGCTCAAATAAAAGTGTTCCTTTACATTAAAAAGAGAGATATCACATGTACAAGGATATCGGTAAAGGAATCACAAGGATATTACATGTACAACGTTGATCGAGTACACTTGAAATAAGCCTGTATAAATTAATGGTGAAAATGTCAATATTTAATAGCCGTAATTTGATTTTATTTTTTATACCTATCCCTTGGCGAAGGCCAAGCAAAAACGAGATTGGGTGAGTATATTTTATTCGTTCACCTTTCCCAGAAAAGTTCTTTAAAAGGTCAAAACGTTAAAGTGTTCCTCTTTTCTTTTTTTTTATGTATCCTATTTCTAAAGCGACGTACTTCCTTCTTTTTGCAGACTCAGGCACATTTATTTTGCGGAGTTACAGTTAATTTTCTTTTAGATAAAAGAAGATGCCCTGAATGTGAAAAAAATAAAACATTACCACAGCATTTGAAAGTTATTCACGGATATACGCAAGAAAAGGCCCGCAGCACAGCAAGGTTGCAGCGAAAAGGCAAAAACCAAGGCGGCAAACTTGCAATCTTGGAGCCTTGCGTTGTCGAGAATTGCACCCGGGCAGTTGTGAAGATTGGCCCACATATTTGCAATAACCATGAAATACATAAAGGGTCAGAGGAATATGTTTCGTAAGTATAAAAACTCAATACTGCAAAGCTCAAACCCCAAATTTATAAATTTAAGTAATAAATGGTTAATTCCCATTCTGTAGTCTGATGTGCAAAGCGAAAGAGTGGCGAGGAATCCGGAGACGGGCGAGGAATAGAAAACGCACCTTCTCACAGCCCAGTCACGGTCCTCCGACACCTTAAGACCCGGAGAGAGGGGAGATAGCAACGAGGGTGAAAAGAAACCCAGTGTTAAAAATGTTCAACAACTATTGTACATTTTTAAAACCGGGTTTCTTTGACCCCTTTGCAAATAAATATTGAACATTTTTGACATTTTTAAAAGACGTGCAGCAGAGAAGAAGTTAGCAACGTTGGAAAGTTACTTTTTCAGGTTGACCAAATGGCGAACGATTGCTCGCTTCTTTGGAAAGAGGAGACCGGAATAATTAGGAGGAACCTCTCTTAAATAGTTGCCTTCTTTCTTTGAAGGCAACAATTTAAGAGAGGTTCCGAAGCAACCTGGCACATTAGTACATTATAGTTTCTCCTATATGTCTTTTCTAAACTTTGCTAAAGCACACAATCTCCAATTGAAATGCTTGATGGAGTTCGTCCAAGTTGATTTGAACAGCATAGAAACAGCAATCCTAAAGATAAAAAATTGGGGAGAAATTATCAACAAGGGTAAACAGCGAAGATCACATGAACCTAAATGAAAAGAAAGGCAGAATTTGATTACGGCGGAACAATACCAAACTGGGCTCAACTGTGAAGAGTCTGTAAGAATTGGAAATAATTTCTCCCAGGAATCTTCGCAGTCTATAAGAACGGAAGAGATCTTCAACGAATTCAGGGAGTACCTTCTGCTCCCGCTACTGTTAAGAGCGATTTCTCAACAGCTGCTGGAACAGGAGGTACTCTCTTCTTAACTCAACTTAACCATGGATGAATTTCGTTTGGCAGAAAGGCGAAACACGACGAAGGCGGTAATTCGCTGATGGTAACCCATTCGTGGAATCACAATATCTCCAGCAACGGTCCAGCACCATTACTTTGGAGTGAATGCGACTTTTCTATGGCAACCAAGTATTTCAGATACCTACGGCAGACTTACACAACATGCCAATCGCAAGGTAAAGCGCTGAACAATCGCTTTTTTATCACAACGTCTGGTACGTAATTAGTTGGTAGTCTAACTAACTGCTTACCAGACGTTGTGTAAACGACGTGTAAACAATCTCGCTACGTCCCTTTGTCCCAATTCCAAAGCTTCATTCAAGACCGCAGTAACACGGCGCAGAGGGAAATATCTCAGAATGATGACACTCGTACCATACAAAGATTTCCACTGGCTAATGCAATGAGTCTCTTGCCACAAACTTCAGACAACTGCTATGCTCTGACTGATAAAACTGACGACGTAGTCAACGCTTATCAGTACACTCAAAATCAAGTTCATGGGAACGCGAAAGGTTCTCTCACAGGACCCGAAACTACACTTCGAACTGTGAGGTTACTAGAAAACGAGGCAATTTCTTCCCTGTCAGAAACGCCACATTGTTCATCACAATCCACGTTTGCAACTGGAAGAACTAGGAAAAAAATGTCTGCCGTTGAAGAAGAACGATTCAAAACAGCAGTCGCCAATTTTGCCCTTCTGCAAAAGAATTCACAAAACAACAAATTAGAGACAAATTCTAAACGTTAGTAAGAATAGAAAAACATGTAAGCATTCACCACAATAAAAGCTAAGAAATTTATTTTATATTTGTATTATTATAACTAACAGATGTATCAATGGATATTAATTATCTCCCCGTTAATTCAGTCGAGTTAATTTCGTTTTGAACACTAGATGAAAGTTCTCGACTTTTTTGGAGTGTTTATTTTGAGAAAACGTTTCAGTCGTGAGGTTTAACAACCGCAGTGGATAGAAGTCGTTTTTCTATCATTCCTGGCAATTCTTTCCAGCCATCTCCACCAATGGTGAAAGATTCCACTGAGTTGAGATATCCCTGCTCTGCGTTATGTCCACCAAACACGACAATAACGCCATCCATGATCACGGCAGAGCTGCCTTTCCTTTTGTAAATCATGCAGGGCAGTCGCTCACTTAATCCAGTCTCAGTGCCGTACATAAAAGCGTCATTTAATGACCGATTATTTCTATCTGAGCCCCCAAGAACAATGATTTTATCACCCCAAGTGACTGTGGACATACCACAAACAGGCTGAGGTAACGATGGACATGGCTTGAACTCATTCTTAATCAAATCATAAACAACAACGCTGTCAAGAGCATCTTTACTAAGGCCGGTTGTTGTTCCGCCCAAGATGAATAGTTTTCCATTAACAAGTTCTGCTCTGTGATTCTTTTTTGCCTCAGGCATTCTCGTCAGCAGCTTGGTAGTATAAGGTCGGGTAAGAGCAATCTCATAAATGGCATTCAATGTTTTCCTTTCATCCCGGTCATATCCTCCTATTATATATAATTTTCCTTGATGAACTATAACGTCATGACCAGATAATTTGACAGGCAGTTTACCATCAAGCATTGTCCATCGCAAAGGATGTTGGTTCATCTTCAAAACTTCGATCCTGTCAGTTCCTTCTTTACCATCGTAACCACCAACGATAAGAACGTCATTGTTGTAAACACATGATGTTGTTGATAAAAGGGGACGATTCAATCGTGGCAGCGGAGTTGACTTTCTTTCTACTATATTGTATTTCTCGACTATATTCGAGATCTGATTCTGTCTAGGGCCATACTGACCGCCAATGACAATAATATCTTGGTTGTTGATTGGACCAGTAAGAACCATTCCATCTAATAACTGACTCATCATTTCCGTCATTCTTTCCAACTGTTGTTTCACCTCAGCTTCAAACCTCGCTTGAGATCGTCTCATCTCATCAACTTTTTCCTGAATTGAATGGAAAATACGACCGTCTCAATTTAAAGCGACCCTTTCTCAGTCCACAGCGTGCAAAGTTAATATGCCTTAACTATATTAACTAAGCAATTCTACTAATAACCACCTTGAACCAAACAAGAACAATCTTACCATAGTTTCTCTTTGACTTGCTCTTATTGTCTTACAGTCGTGACATCCGGCGATTCTAAACTCACAAAGATCTCTCTCGTGAAGATCTTTATCTCTTTTATTCACCTCCATTCCACATCCTTCATTCTTGCAAGTCACGGGTGCAAAACCACATTTATCAACATGATTTTGTAAACTCTCAAGCAAGACAAAGCCTGGACAACCTCTTTCGCTGTATCCACACTTGATTTTCAGCGCTGCCAGAGTGTTCTTCATAAATCTCGGAGGATCTTTCAGGGTTTCTGGAGTGAGATGTTCTCTGCATTCAGGACACGTGTGGGAATGACGAAGATGTTCAGAAATACAGAAATGACAAAATGCATGTTCTTTATGGCAAGTTCGAGGGTTTCTGAGCACTCCTTGACAAATAGAACAGAAGAGATCTTCGCTGATTGTTCCTTCAAAACGACTTTCATCATAACCTTGTTCATGTTTCTCCATTTTCTGAGCCATTTATCGACGCCTAAAAAAATGCCGTTCAAACTATTTAACTGCGTCTAATTGCAGTCTGAAGTGCAGCGTTTGATGGCATCCACTGCAACTCGCCTCCAAAGCTTAAAAATCAACCAGATCAATTTTTGTGTATTTTATGAATTGCAACTTGTAACATGATATTAAATCAATTCATCGCCAATTCAATACGTATGAGGCTTATCTGATACGTGATTTAATGCATGCATGAGGTATATTGTGCCTACATCGAGTTTTTCTTTAATATTTAAAGTATTTTAGTCCGTTGTAGGTATAAAGATTTTCATCTTTCTTTGTCTTTCCAGCGCTTGCATGACAAGCCATAAAAAGCTGTGTGAAATAAAGAATTTATTAACCTATAATGCTTGTTGTTAAGCAAATAAACAGATGGATCTAAGTGATATAAATTCCAAGCCTTTGAGAACAAAGTTTATGTCTAAATATAAAGTATTTCACCATTAGGTACAGCACGATATATTTTAAGTTAATTTGATGAAATGTATTCGCGATTTTAGACGCTAATATTTTAGACTTCGGTAATCATAGAAAGTCCAAAGTTTTAGCAAAGGTTTTGCCATCGCAGTTCATAACACACAGGTTTAACTGCAAGTCATGATTCATCTGTTGAACCAGTCAGATCATTATTAATCGAACTGGATCGAACCGAATATCTCCGCTATTCAAAACCTTAATTACCCACAAAACTAGTTCAACGAACATTCTAACAGTAACAGTCAAACGTTGACTTTTAAATACGACTCGAGGTTAACTGTTTAGCAATTTGTAGGTCCATCTTAAACAAATCTTGACTGCTTCATCAACTAGATTCACAATGGCGGTTTTAATGACAAAAAATGAAATTAGACTTACCAAGATTATTGAATACTCTAAGAGCTTTTTACTGTACCATTTGCAACAAGGTTTCTATAACGTCGTCAGCGGTATTTTGGTTTAAGACGGGAACTTGAAATCTTATCTTTGATGCTTCGTCTTATTCAAAACATCCGGTATTTCTTCGTCATTCTTTGACTGATCCTTTTAAAAAGATCACTGGAGCATTGACGTCTGTCAGGATTTCAAGAGAACGTGTTTCTACACACGATTCAGAGATCACTATTAGACACTGTGGAATATCATAAATGCCGACTTCCGTTTCATGAACTTGCATATCGTAGTCACGGGTATTTTCTGTGCACAGAATGCTACAAGTGACGTCATATAAAGGTATAAATAATGACATCATAATTCATGACATAATGACGTAATGAAAAAGACTGAGCACAACCAAGTCATTGAAACTTAGAAAAGTACAAAATATGAAAAATCTACCTTTATTTTAATTAAAAATTAAAAATTATATACTAAATTAAAAATTCTACTGATTTCACTATTAAGTGTTCGCTAGTTTAGATTAAAATGTTGGTTTAAAAATGAGATAAACCAATATATGTTATATCTACAATATTTACAAAGTAACTATGAACGAAGTTCGTTTAGTTTCGTTGAGATTTCAAAATGAAATAATTTAAATTAACACTTTTAAGCTAGGCGATGTTACACTATGCAACTTTTCTTGCAATTTGCAATGCAATAGTAAATTTGAGGGATGTTAATTTGTAAAGAGTGTTCGAAATGCTAAGAAAACGTCAGCAGATCGTAAGAAATGCTCGTATTTGAAAACTTTAGATGCCTCAGGAGTAGAATTGCATTGCAAGTTGCAAGGAAAGTTGCATAGTGTAAACATCGCCTTTATACATCTCGTGCAAGAGTTGACTGAAATATTAGACACAAAATATATAGTTGTAAATATTACCCTTCGAAATAACTACCGTTTGTGGAAAATCTTTTCAGTTGTGAGGTTTAGCTACAGCAGTAGCATACTTTCTCTTTTCTATCATTCTTGGCAGTTCTTTCCAGTTATGTCCACCAATGGTGAAAGATTCCACTGAGTTGAGATTTCCCTGCTCCTTATTCCATCCACCAAACACGACAATGAAGTCATTCATGATCACGACGGAGCTGTGGCTCCTTTTGTAAATCATGTAGGGAAGTCTCTCGCTTCGCCCGTTCAGTGTCGTACATGATGACGTCATTTAATGCCTGGCAATTTTTATCCAAACCACCAACGACGATGATCATATGACCCCAAGTGACTGTGGACATAAACAAACAGGCTGAGGTAACGATGGACATGGCTTGAACTCATTCTTAATCAAATCATAAACAACAACGCTGTCAAAAGTATTTTTAATATAAAGGCCGGTTCTTCCACCCAAGATAAATAGTTTTCCATTAACAAGTTCTGCTCTGTGATTTCTTCTTGCCTCAGGCATTCTCGTCAGTAGCTTGGTAGTATAAGGTGGGGTAAGAGCAATCTCGTAAATGGCATTCGATGTTTTTCTTTCGTTCCAGTCAATTCCTCCTATTGTATATGATTTTCCTTGATAAACTATGACGTCATGACCAGATAATTTGACGGGCAGTTTACCATCAAACATTGTCCATCGCAAAGGATGTTGGTTCATCTTCAAAACTTCGATCTTGTCAGTTCGTACTTTACCATCGTAACCACCAACGACAAGAACGTCATTGTTGTAAACACACGATGCTGATGCTGTTCGAGGATGATTCAATCCTGGCAGCGGAGTTGACTTTCCTTCTACTATGTTGTATTTCTCGACTGTATTTAATACTTCGGAATCTTTTGACTCGTACCAACCACCAATAATAATAACATCTTGATTATTTTCTACAGTTGCTGGTTCCATAGCGCTGGCACCTTTGATGTTGTTGTTTAAATTGTTTCCTTGCAATAACTGATTCATCATTTCCGTCATTCTTTCCAACTGTTGTTTCACCTCAGCTTCAAACCTCGCTTGAGATCGTCTCATCTCATCAACTTTTTCCTAAATTGGTAAATTTTAAATGTCAAGAATCACATGTTATATAACTTTTTCCTATCTTTACATAGGCTACAATATTGTCGGAACGTTTCATTTCAATAAATATAACGTACAATAAGCTGAAATTAGGATCTTTCCGATAAAAGTTTAAAACATGTTTACACTATTCTAAGAAAGCAATACTGCCTTACCTTCGTTTCATCTTGACTTACTTTCATTTCATCTTGTTTTTCATTTCATCTTGAGTTACTTTCATTTGATCCACACAATCCTGAATTGAAAAACACTGTATTTAATTCATATGCTTTTCATTAGTAAACAAAACTGCAAAAGAACAAAGGAAATCTCTTGCCTTAATTCTGTTTGATTCTACTTTCATTTCATATTGAGTTACTTTCACTTGATCCACACAATACTGAATTAAAAAACACTGTATTTAATTCATATCCCTTCATTAGTAAATGTGTTCTCATGCAAAACTCCAAAAGAAGAAATAAAATTTTCTTGCCTTCATTTTGTTCGATTCCACTTTCATTTCAGCCTGAGTCTGCTTCATCGCTTCAACGGTTTTCTTCAAAGAAAAATTTAAATATCTAAGACATGACATTGTATAAAACATAACTTTTAAATAAGGATAGAACATAAGCTAGCGTCAGTTATCTTTGTAAAAATGTTTGTTTCTACGGCATCTACAAAACAATCGAATTAGCTTTTTAAAAACCAAACAAGAACAATCTTACCTTTGTTTCTTCTGACTTGCTCTAATCTCTTTACAGTCGTGACACTTGGCGATTCGAAACTCACAAAGATCTTTCTCGTGAAGATCTTTATCTCTTTTATTCACCTCCATTCCACATCCTTCATTCTTGCAAGTCACGGGTGCAAAACCACATTTATCAACATGATTTTGTACACTCTCAAGCAAGACAAAGCCTGGACAACCTCTTTCGCTGTATCCACACTTGATTTTCAGCGCTGCCAGAGTGTTCTTCATAAATCTCGGAGGATCTTTCAGGGTTTCTGGAGTGAGATGTTCTCTGCATTCAGGACACGTGTGGGAATGACGAAGATGTTCAGAAATACAGAAATGACAAAATGCATGTTCTTTATGGCAAGTTCGAGGGTTTCTGAGCACTCCTTGACAAATAGAACAGAAGAGATCTTCGCTGATTGTTCCTTCAAAACGTCTTTCATCATAACCTTGTTCATCTTTCTCCATTCTCTGAGCCATTTATGGACGACTAGAAAATAAATTATGATTTATGGATTACATGGCTTTGGTTGTACAATTCCTGTTTCATCGCACGCGACGGCAGTTTGAACAAGTTGCGAGTTACAACATTATTACAACTTGTTGTCAGGTTTGCTATAAATGTGTTATCAAATATAGTTTCGTTTACTTATGTAACAAGTAAAGCATGTCTTTGGCTGAATTAAACCTGCCCTTAATTTCGCTAAACTTGCATTTGCTTCGCTATTGTAAAATTAAGTTCTCTGTCCAATTTTCCTACAAGGTAACAACAGATAGACCCTGTGCATTATTTGTAACTTTGCCTTGTAATTCGACCTTGGTTAAAAACTCTACTCCTTACAATTCAAAATGCTGTTAGAAAAAACTGTGAACTCATTGCAACTTGCATAAAAAGTTAAACCAACTTTTACTTTTGCAAATACTGCGAGACAATACTTCACAATCTCTCTGCAGCTTGAGTCAACTGATCTCAGCAAGGATAAGACTTTGACTGGATGAATGGTTTATAAATTACAAGGCGTAACATGATCTTAATTAAATTCTTTCAAACAAATACAAACTCGAGACATGTCGGAAACATGGATTAGAGTTGTTATGTAATCATGCATACATAAAACAGATTGTGACTATTTCATGTTTCATCTTCGATATTTCAAAATATTTTAGTTCGTTTTTCTTTTGACAACAATGCCAGTAAAATACCTTTGCTATAGCTTTTGAATTGCGGGCTTGTGTCCTTCAGACGAGAGACTCATTCTTGCAACTTCCGTGTCTCATAACGACTGCCAGAATATCAAGTCGTATAAAGCCGTTTGAAATATAATTATAGGAATCATTTACTTGATGCGCGTGTTTAGAATCAAGTCAACAGTTTTATGAGCTAAAATCTATCCTTTCGAAACAAAGTTTATGTCGTAATATTTTCCCCATAGCAGAATGTATCAGACAAATCGAAAGCTATTCGTAATTTGAAGCGCTGATGTTTTGAAATTGTGTAATCATTGAACAGTCTACAGTTTGTTGTTCTCTTCATCTGATATTTCACCAGGATTAACGATGAATTATAATATTCTACAGTACGCGAGAATTACTGTTAGTCGCCTTAATTCAAACTCTTCAACAATCACAGCAACAGAAGGCTGGTTGCGTCAGTTCGTGGCTGCAGTTGAAGATTTGAAACTTTGCGTTCTCCGACGTCAACAATTGAAACAAAATTTGTCTACTTCCTCCATATTACCTCGTCTTTTTCTTCCTGTCACAACTGCCTTTGTTTTGGTATCTTAATTTTAACTGTGTAATACCCGCGTTCATTGTTGCCTTGCGCGTTCAGACGTATTGCGCTCAAAAATGTCGGTCATGCGTAGAGGGGAAAATATATGCTTTCAGACAATAAAGGCATTCAACGCTTTACTGAAACAGTAATTGGTAAAGATTATATGAGGTTATTATAAGTTCAACTAACATTCAAGCAGTAACGATTTAAAACGTGATTCAAAGTTAATTGCGTTGCAGTGTGTTTGCTGTTCGTAGTGAAACTCAATCACAACGCGTTTTATTATAAATACTGGACAGACCCTGGCAGTTTAAACGACAAATAGATAATGAAATTAGACTTACCAGTGTTATTGAATATTGAGTCTTGAGAGTTTTGCGCTGTGTCGTTCTGCAACAAGTTGATTTTAACGCTGTCTGTAGTATTTTGTGTTTAAGAATCGAGACAACACCTTGATGTGTCGTAATTTTCATCCCTAGCTCAGGAAATCTCGTGTTTCAACGTGATCCTTTGTCAACCTTATAAGGAAATCACCAGGATATTTACAGGATATCCTAAGGATATCACCAGGATATTTTCAGATATCCTAAGGATATCACCAGGATATTTACAGATATCCTAAGGATATCACCAGGATATTTACAGATATCCTAAGGATATCACCAGGATATTTACAGATATCCTAAGGATATCACCAGGATATTGTTTTAATTTCTGTATGGTGAAAGTTATAGACGAGTGTAGACCATTGAAACATTGTTTTTCTTTTATTTTCTTTTTCTAACAATAACAGTCATATGAACATTGACTTTAAAATACGATTCGAGATTAAAGCCTTGTTCACACTTGTCCTAAGAATCTGGGATTGCCTTTGTCTGAAATCACTAGTGCGCAAAATGCTTTGTCTATCGGAAAATAATATAATGGAACCCCGACTCTAAAGAGTGTGAATCAGACCAACTGTTTGGCAATGTTTACGATCCGTCTTAAACAAATCTTGACTGCTTCATCAACTAGATTCACAATGGCAGTTTTAATGACAAAAAATAATGAAATTAGACCTACCAAGGTTATTGAATATTCTAAGAGCTTTTTACTGTGTCATTTGCAACAAGGTTTCTATAACGTCGTCAGCGGTATTTTTTGTTTAAGACGAAAACTTGAAATCTTATCTTTGATGCTTTGTCTTATTCAAAACATCCGGTATTTCTACGTCATTCTTCGACTGATCCTTTTAAAAAGATCACTGGAGCATTGACGTCTGTCAGGATTTCAAGAGAACGTGTTTCTACACATGATTCAGAGATCACTATTAGACACTGTGGAATATCATAAATGCCGACTTCCGTTTCATGAACTTGCATATCGTAGTCACGGGTATTCTCTGTGCACAAAATGCTACAAGTGACGTCATATAAAGGTATAAATAATGACATCATAATTCATGACATAATGACGTAATGAAAACGACTGAGCACATCCAACCTAAGTCATTGAAACTTAGAAAAGTTCAAAATATGAAAAATTTACCTTTATTTTAATTATATCAAATTGAAATTAAATATTCTACTGATTTCACTATTAAGTGTTCGCTAGTTTAGATTAAAATGTTCGTTTAAAAATGAGATAAACCAATATATATTATATCTACAATATTTACAAAGCAACTATGAACGAAGCTCGTTTAGTTTCGTTGAGATTTCAAAATGAAATCATTTTAAACACTTTTAAGCTAGGCGCTGTTACACTATGCAACTTTTCTTGCAACTTGCAATGCAATAGTAATTTTGAGGGATGTTAATTTGTAAAGGGTGTTCGAAATGCTAAGAAAACGTCAGCAGATCGTAAGAAATGTTCGTTTTTGACAACTTTAGATGCCTCAGGAGTAGATTTGCATTGCAAGTTGCAAGGAAAGTTGCATAGTGTAACACCCCTTTATACATACATCTCGTGCAAGAGTTGACTGAAATATTACACACAAAATATATAGTTGTAAATATTATCGTTAGAAATTACTACCGTTCGTGAGAAATCTTTTCAGTCGCAAGGTTTAACTACAGCAGTAGCATACTGTCTTTTTTCTATCATTCCTGGCAGTTCTTTCCAGCCATCTCCACCAATGGTGAAAGATTCCACTGAGTTGAAATCTTCCTGCTCCTCATTCAATCCACCAAACACGACAATGACGTCATTCATGATTACGACAGAGCTGTCGCTTCTTTTGTGAATCATGGAGGGCAGACTATCGCTTCGCCCAGTCTCTGTGTCGTACATTATGACGTCATTTAATGCCTGGCCATTCTTATTCCCACCACCAACGATGATGATCATATGACCCCAAGTGACTGTGGACATAGCAAAAACAGGCTGAGGTAACGATGGACATGGCTTGAACTCATTCTTAATCAAATCATAAACAACAACGCTGTCAAGAGCATCTTTACTAAGGAAGGTTGTTGTTCCGCCCAAGATAAATAGTTTTCCATTAACAAGTTCTGCTCTTTGATTTATTCTTGGCTCAAGCATTCTCGTCAGCAGCTTGCCAGTATAAGGTGGGGTAAGAGCAATCTCATAAATGGCATTCGTTATTTTTCCTTCATTCCAGTCATATCCTCCTATTGTATATAATTTTTCTTGATAAACTATGACGTCATGACCAGATAATTTGACAGGCAGTTTACCATCAAACATTGTCCATCGCAAAGGATGTTGGTTCCTCTTCAAAACTTCAATCGTGTCAGTTCCTCCTTTACCATCGTTACCACCAACGACAAGAACGTCATTGTTGTAAACACACGATGCTGATGCTCCTCGAGGATGATTCAATCCTGGCAGCGGAGTTGACTTTCCTTCTACTATGTTGTATTTCTCGACTGTATTTAATACCTCGAAAACTTTTGACCCGTACCGACCACCAATAATAATAACATCTTGATTATTTTCTACAGTTGCTGGTTCCATAGCGCTGGCACCATTGATGTTGTTGTTTAAATTGTTTCCTTGCAATAACTGATTCATCATTTTCATCATTCTTTCGAAGTGTTGTTTCACCTCAGCTTCAAACCTCGCTTGAGATCGTCTCATCTCATCTTGAGTTACTTTCATTTGATCCACAGAATCCTGAATTAAAAAACACTGTATTTAATTCATATCCCTTTCATTAGTAAATCTGTTCTCATTTCAAAACTCCAAAAGAAGAAATAGAATTTTCTTGCCTTCATTTTGTTCGATTCCGCTTTCATTTCCGCCTGAGACTGCTTCATGACTTCAACGGTTTTCTTCAAAGAAAAATTTAAATATCTAAGACATAACATTATTTAATAAAGACAGTACATTAACTAAAGTCAGTTATCTTTGCAACAATGTTTGTTTCTACGAGATCTACAAAACAATCGAATTAGCTTTCTTAAAAACCAAACAAGAACAATCCTACCTTTGTTTCTTCTTGACTTGCTCTAATCTCTTTACAGTCGTGACACTTGGCGATTCTAAACTCACAAAGATCTTTCTCGTGAAGATCTTTATCTCTTTTATTCACCTCCATTCCACATCCTTCATTCTTGCAAGTCACGGGTGCAAAACCACATTTATCAACATGATTTTGTAAATTCTCAAGCAAGACAAAGCCTGGACAACCTCTTTCGCTGTATCCACACTTGATTTTCAGCGCTGCGAGAGTATTCTTCATAAATCTCGGAGGATCTTTCAGGGTTTCTGGAGTGAGATGTTCTCTGCATTCAGGACACGTGTGGGAATGACGAAGATGTTCAGAAATACAGAAATGACAAAATGCATGTTCTTTATGGCAAGTTCGAGGGTTTCTGAGGACTCCTTGACAAATAGAACAGAAGAGATCTTCGCTGATTGTTCCTTCAAAACGTCTTTCATCATAACCTTGTTCATCTTTCTCCATTCTCTGAGCCATTTATGGACGACTAGAAAATTAATTATGATTTATGGATTATGGCTTTGGTTGTTCAAATTCTTGTTTCATCGCACGCGACGGCAGTTTGAACAAGTTGCGAGTTACAACATTATTACAACTTGTTGTCAGGTTTGCTACAAATGTGTTGGCGAAAATATAGTTTTGTTTACTTATGTAACAAGTAAAGCATGTTTTTGGCTGAATTAAACCTGCCCTTAATCTCGCTAAACTTAAATTTGCTTCGCTATTGTGAAAGTAAGTTCTCTGTCCAATTTTCGTACAAGGTAACAACAGATAGACACTGTGCATCATTTGTACCTTTGCCTTGTAATTCGACCTTGGTTAAAAGCTCTACTCCTTACAATTCAAAATGCTGTTAGAAAAAACTGTGAACTCATTGCAAGTTGCATAAAAAGTTAAACCAACTTTTACTTTTGCAAATACTGCGAGACAATACTTCACAATCTCTCTGCAGCTTGAATCAACTGATCTCAGCAAGAATTAGACTGTGACTGGATGAATGGTTTATAAATTACAAGGCGTAACATGATCTTAATTCAATTCTTTCAAACAAATTCAAACTCCAGACTTGTCGGAAACGTGGATTAGGGTTGTTATGTGATCATGCATACATAAAACAGATTGTGACTATTTCATGTTTCGTCTTGGATATTTCAAAATATTTTAGTTCGTTTTCGTTTTGACAACAATGCCAGTAAAATACCTTTGCTATAGCTTTTGAATTGCAGGCTTGTGTCTTTCAGGCGAGAGACTCATTCTTGCAACTTCCGTGTCTCATAACGACTGTCAGAATATCAAGTCGTATAAAGCCGTTTGAAATATAATTATAGGAATCATTTACTTGATGCGTGTGTTTAGAATCAAGTCAACAGTTTTATGATCTAAAATCTATCCTTTCGAAACAAAGTTTATGTCGTAATATTTTCCCCATAGCAAAATAAATCAGACAAATCGAAAGCTATTCGTAATTTGAGGCGCTGATGTTTTGAAATTGTGTAATCATTGAACAGTCTACAGTTTGTTGTTCTCTTTATCTGATATTTCACCAGGATTAACGATGAATTATAATATTCTACAGTACGCGAGAATTACTGTTAGTCTCCTCAATTCAAACTCTTCAACAATCACAGCAACAGAAGGCTGGTTGCGTCAGTTGCGTGGCTGCAGTTGGGAAGATTTGAAACTTTGCGTTCTCCGACGTCAACAATTGAAACCAAATTTGTCTACTTTCTCCATATTACCTCGTCTTTTTCTTCCTGTCACAACTGCCTTTGGTCTCGGTATCTTAATTTTAACTGTGTAATACCTAAATACCTCGCATTCATTGTTGCCTTGCGCGTTCAGACGTATTGTGCTCAATAATGTCGGTGATGTGTTAGAGGGGAAAATATATGCTTTCAGACAATAAAGACACTCAACGCTTTACTAAAACAGTAATTGATAAAGATTATATGAGGTTATATTATAAGTTCAACTAACGTTCAAGCAATAACGATTTAAAACGTGATTCAAAGTTAATTGCGTTGCAGTGTGTTTGCTGTTCGTAGTGAAACTCAATCACAACGCGTTTTATTAATACTGGAAAGACCCTGGCAGTTTAAACGACAAATAGATAATGAAATTAGACTTACCAGTGTTATTGAATATTGAGACTTGAGAGCTTTGCGCTGTGTCGTTCTGCAACAAGTTGATTTTAACGCTGTCTGTAGTATTTTGTGTTTAAGAATCGAGACAACACCTTGATATGTCGTGATTTTCATCCCTGGCTCAGGAAATCTCGTGATTTCAACGTGATCCTTTGTCAACCTTATAAGGAAATCACCAGGATATTTACAGGATACCCTAAGGATATCACCAGGATATTTACAGATACCCTAAGGATATCACCAGGATATTCACAGATATCCTAAGGATATCACCAGGATATTCACAAGATATCCTAAGGATATCACCAGGATATTTACAGGATACCCTAAGGATATCACCAGGATATTCACAGATATCCTAAGGATATCACCAGGATATTCACAGGATATCCTAAGGATATCACCAGGATATTCACAGATATCCTAAGGATATCACCAGGATATTTACAGATATCTTAAGGATATCACCAGGATATTTACAGATATCCTAAGGATATCACCAGGATATTTACAGATATCCTAAGGATATCACTAGGATATTTACAGATATCCTAAGGATATCACCAGGATATTTACAGATATCCTTAGGATATCACAAGGATATGGTTTTCATTTCTGTATGGTGAAAGTTATAGACGAGTGTAGACCATTGAAACATTGTTTTTCTTTTATTTTCTTTTTCTAACAATAACAGTCATATGAACATTGACTTTAAAATACGATTCGAGATTAAAGCCTTGTTCACACTTGTCGTAAGAATCTGGGATTGCCTTTGTCTGAAATCACTAGTGCGCAAAATGCTTTGTCTATCAGAAAATAATATAATGGATCCCCGACTCTAAAGAGTGTGAATCAGACCAACTGTTTGGCAATGTTTACGATCCATCTTAAACAAAACTTGACTGCTTCATCAACTGGATTCACAATGGCGGTTTTAATGACAAAAAATAATGAAATTAGACCTACCAAGGTTATTGAATATTCTAAGAGCTTTTTACTGTACCATTTGCAACAAGGTTTCTATAACGTCGTCAGCGGTATTTTGTGTTTAAGACGAAAACTTGAAATCTTATCTTTGATGCTTCGTCTTATTCAAAACATCCGGTATTTTCTACGTCATTCTCTGAACATCCTTTTAAAAAGATCACTGGAGCATTGACGTCTGTCAGGATTTCAAGAGAACGTGTTTCTACACACGATTCAGAGATCACTATTAGACACTGTGGAATATCATAAATGCCCACTTCCGTTTCATGAACTTGCATATCGTAGTCACGGGTATTTTCTGTGCACAGAATGCTACAAGTGACGTCATATGAAGTTATAAGTAATGACATCATAATTCATGTTATAATGACGTAATGAAAAAGACTGAGCAAATCCAACCTAAGTCATTGAAACTTGGAATAGTGAAAAATATGAAAAATCTACCTTTATTTTAATTATATCAAATTGAAATTAAATATTCTACTGATTTCACTATTAAGTGTTCGCTAGTTTAGATTAAAATGTTCGTTTAAAAATGAGGTATGCCAATATATATTATATCTACAATATTTACAAAGAAACTATGAACGAATCTCGTTTAATTTCGTTGAGATTTCAAAATGAAATCATTTTAGATACTTTTAGGCTAGGCGCTGTTACACTATGCAACTTTTCTTGCAACTTGCAATGCGATAGTAATTTTGAAGATGTTAATTTGTAAAGAGGGTTCGAAATGCTAAGAAAACGTCAGCAGATCGTAAGAAATGTTCGTATTTGACAACTTTAGATGCCTCGGGAGAAGAATTGCATTGCAAGTTGCAAGGAAAGTTGCATAGTGTAACATCGCCTTTCTACATCTCGTGCAAGAGTTGACTGAAATATTAGACACAAAATATATAGTCGTAGATATTATCGTTTGAAATTACTACCGTTTGTGAGAAATCTTTTTAGTTGTGAGGTTTAACTACAGCAGTAGCATTGTGTCTTTTTTCCATCATTCCGGGCAGTTCTTTCCAGATACCTCCACCAATGGTGAAAGATTCCACTGAGTTGAGATCTCCCTGCTCCTTATTCCATCCACCAAACACGACAATGACGTCATTCATGATCACGACAGAGCTGCCGCACCTTTTGTAAATCATGGAGGGCAGTCTCTCGCTTCTCCCAGTCTCTGTGTCGTACATGATGACGTCATTTAATACTTGATCATTCTTATTCCCACCGCCAACGACGATGATCTTATGACCCCAAGTGACTGTGGACATACCACAAACAGGCTGAGGTAACGATGGATATGGCTTGAACTTATTCTTAGTCAAATCATAAACAACAACGCTGTCAAAAGCATCTTTACTAAGGCCGCTTGTTGTTCCGCCCAAGATAAATAGTTTTCCATTAACAAGTTCTGCTCTGTGATTTCTTCTTGCCTCAGGCATTTTTGTCAGCAGCTTGGCAGCATAAGGTGGGGTAAGAGCAATCTCATAAATGGCATTCGATGTTTTTTCTTTTTCCAGTCATATCCTCCTATTGTATATAATTTTCCTTGATAAACTATGACATCATGACTATATAATGACAGGCAGTTTACCATCAAACATTGTCCATCGCAAAGGATGTTGGTTCATCTTCAAAACTTCGATCGTGTCAGTTGCTTCTTCACCATTGTAACCACCAACGACAAGAACGTCATTGTTGTAAACACACGATGCTGATTCTGCTCGAGGATGATTCAATCGTGGCAGCGGAGTTGACTTTTCTTCTACTATGTTGTAATTCTCGACTGTATTTAATACCTCGGAAGCTTTGGGCCCGTACCAACCACCAATAATAATAACATCTTGATTATTTTCTACAGTTGCTGGTTCCATAGCGCTGGCACCATTGATGTTGTTGTTTAAATTGTTTCCTTGCAATAACTGATTCATCATTTCCGTCATTCTTTCCAACTGTTGTTTCACCTCAGATTCAAACCTCGCTTGAGATCGTCTCATCTCATCAACTTTTTCCTAAATTGGTAAATTTCAAATGTGAAGGATCACAAGTTATATAACTTTTTCCTATCTTTACATAAGCACCAATGATGTGTCCGAACGTTTCATTTAAATAAATATAACGTACAATAAGCTGAAATTAGGATTTTTCCGATAAGAGTTTAAAACAGATTTATATTAATCTAAGAAAGCAAGTACTGTCTTACCTTCGTTTCATCTTGGCTTGTTTTCATTTCATCTTGAATTACTTTCATTTGATCCACACAATCCTAAATTAAAAAACGCTGTATTTAATTTATATGCTTTTCATTAGAAACAAAACTGCAAAAGAACAAAGGAAATCTCTTGCCTTAATTTTGTTTGATTCTGCTTTCATTTCATCTTGATTTGTTTTTATTTCATCTTGAGTTACTTTCACTTGATCCACACAATCCTGAATTAAAAAACACTGTATTTAATTCATATCCTTTTCATTATTAAATCTGTTCTCATTTCTAAACTTCAAAAGAAGAAATAGAATTTTCTTGCCTTCATTTTGTTCGATTCCACTTTCATTTCAGCCTGAGACTGCTTCATGACTTCAACGGTTTTCTTCAAAGAAAAATTTAAATATCTAAGACATGACATTGAATGAAACATAACTTTTAAATAAAGATATTACATTAGCTAGGATCAGTTATCTTTGTAAAAATGTTTGTTTCTACGACATCTACAAAACAATCGAATTAGCTTTCTTAAAACCAAACAAGAACAATCTTACCTTTGTTTTTCTTGACTTGCTCTATTCTCTTTACAGTCGTGACACTTGGCGATTCTAAACTCACAAAGATCTTTCTCGTGAAGATCTTTATCTCTTTTATTCACCTCCATTCCACATCCTTCATTCTTGCAATTCACGGGTGCAAAACCACATTTATCAACATGATTTTGTAAACTCTCTAGCAAGACAAAGCCTGGGCAACCTCTTTCGCTGTATCCACACTTGATTTTCAGCGCTGCCAGAGTGTTCTTCATAAATCTCGGAGGATCTTTCAGGGTTTCTGGAGTGAGATGTTCTTTGCATTCAGGACACGTGTGGGAATGACGAAGATGTTCAGAAATACAGAAATGACAAAATGCATGTTCTTTATGGCAAGTTCGAGGGTTTCTGAGCACTCCTTGACAAATAGAACAGAAGATCTTCGCTGATTTTTCCTTCAAAACGTCTTTCATCATAACCTTGTTCATCTTTCTCCATTCTCTGAGCCATTTATGGACGACTAGAAAATAAATTATGATTTATGGATAACGGTTTTACTAAGAACTATCCCCAGCTTGTTAACGAGTTTGTTAATCAGTGGCTTTTTCGTAACTTTCTTCAAGGTTGTTGTTGACTCGAAAGACTTGTTACAAATTGTTCCAACAACTTGGTGTATGGTTCTACAATTCAACATCTTGTCAAGTCGAAATTTGTCTGAAATGTGTCTAGAGTTGCTTCTCAATGACGACAACGTGATTTTGAATTGATCGTGATTTTGTACTAATAGTTGTGAACACGCCACTTTCACCGATGAATAATTAATAGTCTGGATCTAAATTTGTCTTTATTTCTGTATTCAAATCAATAATTGTTGAATGAAAACAAAGAGATATTATATAACATCAGCCACCTTCATGGAAACCAGGCAACACACAAAACCGGGTGAGACTTGTTGAGGTGTTTCTCATCTTCAAATATTTTATACTCTCTTTATCTTACCAGCATTTTTGGAAAAGATATGTTTTCCATAACGCTTCTCAATTCGGATTTTATAAGAGCCTTTTTAGTGTTCTTCAAACCGGAAAAATATGCGAAGAATTCATTCACCCGCTGTGTGATGTTGTGACACGTATCAAGTCGATAGCATTTATTACTCAGAGCTGGTATTTTAACTCTGTACTTCAATCGAAATCTGTACTTCAAACGTGTTTTTTCGATTGTGTATGCAATCTTAACCAACACATTTAAAAGTCATCACGCCAAGAGACAGACAGTGTTGTTTGTAAGACTGCTATTAGGAAAAAATTTCTTCCATTTAAGCGGTTTTTACAAATTCCCATGCTGCATTACCACGTCAAATACAGGCGTTGGAAATAAGTTCAATAAATGCTCTAAAGGTCTGCATGTTAACACGATCCAATTTTGGAGGATCCAATTCACGTCTGACGTATGAAATGTAGTCAGGTTATTGATAAATCAGTACTGCATAAGTCTGCATTGGCTTGAGTTGATTTGCTGCGCTATACATTGCATTTCAACAAACTATAAAACATCCTTTAGGAGTTAATTGCAACCGACAAATTTGTATCGTGCTAACATACTTTAAAAATTACAGTTTTGAATTGACTTTAAAATAAGATTCAAACACGGAACTCTATGGCGAGCGGCGTTTGTGGTCAATAGACTAACGCAATTTTAACTTTTTTATCATCTGGATTAACCCATTTGCCCTTGATAGTATAGTTATATAGTTAAACAGCACAGAAATAATGAAATAGACTTACCAAATGTACTGAATTATGAGAGCTTTTTATTTAACAATCGTACAACAAGTTGGCCTCGACGCCGTCAACAGTATTTTGTGTTTGAGACAACACCTTAATATGTCGTAATTTTTATTTTGTTTAAGAACATCGCGTGACTTCAGAACAGTCTTTTAACATCCTTATAAGGAACTAACTGTTCCCCTGGACAATACAATCTTTACCATCATGCTGTGACCATTTTAAACATATCTTCAAACATTTGCATTTCAAATGATCTGGCTTAAACTTCGTTTCGTTAAATCTCGATATACCGGAAGAGACCCTATGAAAATACGTTTTAAAATATGCAAGAAAATAAAAGAGAAACAATGTGTCAATTGCACTCGTCTATAACTTCACCATACAGAAATGAAAACCATATCCTGGTGATGTCCTTAGGGTATCCTGTAAATATCCTGTGTTTAAGACGAAAACTTGAAATCTTATCTTTGATGCTTCGTCTTATTCAAAACATCCGGTATTTCTACGTCATTCTTTCACTGATTCTTTTAAAAAGATCACTGGAGCATTGACGTCTGTCAGGATTTCAAGAGAACGTGTTTCTACACACGATTCAGAAATCACTATTAGACACTGTGGAATATCATAAATGCCGACTTCCATTTCACGAACTTGCATATCGTAGTCACGGGTATTTTTTGTGCACAAAATGCTACAAGTAACGTCATATAAAGGTATAAATAATGACATCATAATTCATGACATAATGACGTAATGAAAAAGACTGAGCACATCCAACCTAAGTCATTGAAACTTAGAAAAGTAAAAAAATATGAAAAATCTACCTTTATTTTAATTATATCAAAATGAAACTAAATATTTTACTGATTTCACTATTAAGTGTTCGCTAGTTCAGATTAAAATGTTCGTTTAAAAATGAGATATGCCAATATATATTATATCTACAATATTTACAAAGTAACTATGAACGAAGCTCGTTTAGTTTCGTTGAGATTTCAAAATGAAATCATTTTAAACACTTTTAGGCTAGGCGCTGTTACACTATGCAACTTTCCTTGCAACTTGCAATGCAATAGTAATTTTGAGGGATGTTAATTTGTAAAGAGTGTTCGAAATGCTAAGAAAAGTTCAGCAGATCGTAAGAAATGTTCTCATTGGACAACTTTAGATGCCTCAGCAGTAGAATTGCATTGCAAGTTGCAAGGAAAGTTACATAGTGCAACACCGCCTTCATACATCTCGTGCAAGAGTTGACTGAAATATTGAACACAAAATATATAGTTGTAAATATTATCGTTCGAAATTACTACCGTTTGTCGAAAATCTTTTCAGTTATGAGGTTTAACTGCAGCAGTAGCATAGTTTCTCTTTTCTATCATTCCTGGCAGTTCTTTCCAGCCATCTCCACCAATGGTGAAAGATTCCACTGAGTTGAGATATCCCTGCTCTGCGTTGTTTCCACCAAACACGACAATGACGTCATTCATGATCACGACAGAGCTGGCGCTCCTTTTGTAAATCATGGAGGGCAGACTCTCGCTTCGCCCAGTCTCTGTGTCGTACATAATGACGTCATTTAATGCATGCGTATTCTTATCCAAACCACCAACGACAATAATCATATGACCCCATGTGACTGTGGACATAGTAGAAACAGGCTGAGGTAACGATGGACCTGACTTGAACTCATTCTTAATGAAATCATAAACAACAACGCTGTCAAGAGCATCTTTACTAAAGCCGGTTGTTGTTCCGCCCAAGATAAATAGTTTTCCATTAACAAGTTCTGCTCTGTGATATTTTCTTCGCTCAGGCATTCTCCTCAGCCGCTTGGCAGCATAAGGTGGGGTAAGAGCAATCTGATAAATGGCATTCAATATTTTTCTTTCATTCCAGTAATATCCTCCTATTATATATAATTTTCCTTCATAAACTATGACGTCATGAGCAGATAATTTGACAGGCAGTTTACCATCAAACATTGTCCATCGCAAAGGATGTTGGTTCATCTTCAAAACTTCGACCGTATCAGTTCCTTCTTTACCATCGGAACCACCAACGACAAGAACGTCATTGTTGTAAAGACATGATGCTGATGCTATTCGAGGATGAATCAATCCTGGTAGCAGAGTTGACTTTCCTTCTACTATGTTGTATTTCTCGACTGTGTTTAATACCTTGTCATTTCCTGGGCCATACCGACCACCAATAATAATAATATCTTGATTATTTTCTACAGTTGCTGGTTCCATAGCGCTGGCACCATTGATGTTGTTGTTTAAATTGTTTCCTTGCAATAACTGATTCATCATTTCCGTCATTCTTTCCAACTGTTGTTTCACCTCAGCTTCAAACCTCGCTTGAGATCGTCTCATCTCATCAACTTTTTCCTAAATTGGTAAATTTCAAATGTGAAGGATCACAAGTTATATAACTTTTTCCTATCTTTACATAAGCACCAATGATGTGTCCGAACGTTTCATTTAAATAAATATAACGTACAATAAGCTGAAATTAGGATTTTTCCGATAAAAGTTTAAAACAGATTTATATTATTCTAAGAAAGCAAGTACTGTCTTACCTTCGTTTCATCTTGGCTTGTTTTCATTTCATCTTGAGTTACTTTCATTTGATCCACACAATCCTAAATTAAAAAACGCTGTATTTAATTTATATGCTTTTCATTAGAAAACAAAACTGCAAAAGAACAAAGGAAATCTCTTGCCTTAATTTTGTTTGATTCTGCTTTCATTTCATCTTGACTTGTTTTTATTTCATCTTGAGTTACTTTCACTTGATCCACACAATCCTGAATTAAAAAAAATTGTATTTAATTTATATCCTTTTCATTATTAAAACTGTTCTCATTTCTAAACTCCAAAAGAAGAAATAGAATTTTCTTGCCTTCATTTTGTTCGATTCCACTTTCATTTCAGCCTGAGACTGCTTCATGACTTCAACGGTTTTCTTCAAAGAAAAATTTAAATATCTAAGACATGACATATAATGAAACATAACTTTTAAATAAAGATATTACATTAGCTAGGATCAGTTATCTTTGTAAAAATGTTTGTTTCTACGACATCTACAAAACAATCGAATTAGCTTTCTTAAAAACCAAACAAGAACAATCTTACCTTTGTTTCTTCTTGACTTGCTCTAATCTCTTTACAGTCGTTACACTTGGCGATTCTAAACTCACAAAGATCTTTCTCGTGAAGATCTTTATCTCTTTTATTCACCTCCATTCCACATCCTTCATTCTTGCAAATCACGGGTGCAAAACCACATTTATCAACATGATTTTGGAAACTCTCAAGCAAGACAAAGCCTGGACAACCTCTTTCGCTGTATCCACACTTGATTTTCAGCGCTGCCAGGGTGTTCTTCATAAATCTCGGAGGATCTTTCAGGGTTTCTGGAGTGAGATGTTCTCTGCATTCAGGACACGTGTGGGAATGACGAAGATGTTCAGAAATACAGAAATGACAAAATGCATGTTCTTTATGGCAAGTTCGAGGGTTTCTGAGCACTCCTTGACAAATAGAACAGAAGAGATCTTCGCTGATTTTTCCTTCAAAACGTCTTTCATCATAACCTTGTTCATCTTTCTCCATTCTCTGAGCCATTTATAGACGACTAGAAAATAAATTATGATTTATGGATAACGGTTGTACTAAGAACTATCCCCAGCTTGTTAACGAGTTTGTTAATCAGTGGCTTTTTCAAAACTTTTTACAAGGTTGTTGTTGACTCGAAAGACTTGTTACAAATTGTTCCAACAACTTGGTGTATGGTTCTACAATTCAACAACTTGTCAACTCGAAATTTGTCTGAAATGTGTCGAGAGTTACTTCTCAATGATGACAACGTGATTTTGAATTGATCGTGATTTTGTCCTAAAAGTTGTGAACAAGCCACTTTCACCGATGAATAATTAATAGTCCGGATCTAAATTTGTCTTTATTTCTGTATTCAAATCAATAATTGTTGACTGAAAACAAAGAAATATTATATCATATCAGCCACCTTGATGGAAACCAGGCAATACATAAAACCGGGTGAGATTGTTGAGGTGTTTCTCATCTTTAAATATTTTATAGTCTCTTTATCTTACCAGCATTTTCGCAAAAGATATGTTCGCAATAACGCTTTTCAATTCGGGTTTTATAAGAGCCATTTTAGTGTTCTTCAAACCGGAAAAATATGCGAAGAATTCATTCACCTGCTGTGTGATGTTGTGACACGTATCAAGTCGATAGCATTTATTACTCAGAACTGCTATTTTAACTCCGTAATTCAATCGAAATCTGTACTTCAAATGTCTTTTGTCGATTGTATATGCCAAACTATCATTCCCTGTACCATAAGTCCATCTTAACCAACACATTTAAAAGTGATCATACCAAGACACAGACAAAGTTGTTTGTAAGACTGCTATTAGGAAAATATGTCTTCCATTTAAGCAGTTTTTACAAATTCGCATTCTGCATTACCACGTCAAATACAGGCGATGCAAATAAGTTCAATAAATGCTTTAAAGTTCTGCATGTTAACACGATCCAATTTTGCAGGATCCAATTCACGTCTGACGTATGAAATGTAGTCAGGCTATTGATAAATCAGTACTGCATAAGTCTGCATTAGCTTGAGTTGATTTGCTGCGCTATACATTGCATTTCAACAGACTCTAAAACATCCTTTAGGAGTTAATTGGAACCGACAAATTTGGATCGTGTGAACAGACTTTAAAAATGACAGTTTTGAATTGACTTTAAAATATGATTCAAACACGGAACTTTATGGCGAGGAGCGTTTGTGGTCAATAGACTAACACAATTTTAACTTTTTTATCAACTGGATTAACCCATTTACCATTGACAGTATAGTTATATAGTTAAACAGCACAGAAATAATGAAATAGACTTACCAAATGTACTGAATTATGAGAGCTTTTTATTTAACAATCGTACAAAAAATTGGTCTCGACGCCGTCAACAGTATTTTGTGTTTGTGACAACACCTTAATATGTCGTAATTTTTATTGTGTTTAAGAACATCGCGTGACTTCTGAACAGTCTTTTAACATCCTTATAAGGAAATAACTGTTCCCCTGGACAATACAATTTTTACCATCATGCTGTGACCATTTTAAATATATCTTCAAACATTTGCATTTCACATGATCTGGCTTAAACTTCGTTTCGATAAATCTCGGTGTACCGGAAGAGACCCTATGAAAATACGTTCTAAAATATGCAAGAAAATAAAAGAGAAACAATGTGTCAATTGCACTCGTCTATAACTTCACCATACAGAAATGAAAACCATATCCTGGTGATGTCCTTAGGGTATCCTGTAAATATCCTGTGTTTAAGACGAAAACTTGAAATCTTATCTTTGATGCTTCGTCTTATTCAAAACATCCGGTATTTTCTACGTCATTCTTTGACTGATCCTTTTAAAAAGATCACTGGAGCATTGACGTCTGTCAGGATTTCAAGAGAACGTGTTTCTACACACGATTCAGAGATCACTATTAGACACTGTGGAATATCATAAATGCCGACTTCCGTTTCACGAACTTGCATATCGTAGTCACGGGTATTTTCTGTGCACAGAATGCTACAAGTGACGTCAAATGAAGGGATAAATAATGACATGAGAACATCCAACCTAAGTCATTGAAACTTAGAAAAGTACAAAATATGAAAAATCTACCTTTATTTTAATTATATCAAATTGAAATTAAATATTCTACTGATTTCACTATTAAGTGTTCGCTAGTTTAGATTAAAATGTTCATTTAAAAATGAGATATCCCAATATATATTATATCTACAATATTTACAAAGTAACTATAAACGAAGCTCAATTAGTTTCGTTGAGATTTCAAAATGAAATCATTTTAAACACTTTTAGGCTAGGCGCTGTTACACTATGCAACTTTTCTTGAAACTGGCAATGCAATAGTAATTTTCAGGGATTTTAATTTGTAAAGAGTGTTCGAAATGCTAAGAAAACGTCAGCAGATCACAAGAAATGTTCGTGTTCGAGAACTTTAGATGCCATAGGAGTAGAATTGCATTGCAAGTTGCAAGGAAAGTTGCATAGTGTAACATCGCCTTTATACATCTCCTGCAGGAGTTGACTGAAATATTAGCCACAAAATATATAGCTGTAGATATTATCGTTCAAAATTACTACCGTTTGTGAGAAATCTTTTCAGTTGTGAGGTTTAACTACAGCAGTAGCATAGTTTCTCTTTTCTATCATTCCTGGCAGTTCTTTCCAGCCATCTCCACCAATGGTGAAAGATTCCACTGAGTTGAGATATCCCTGCTTCTCATTCCATCCACCAAACGTGAAAATGACGTCATTCATGATCACGACAGAGCTGCCGCTTCTTTTGTGAATCATGGAAGGCAGTCTCTCGCTTCGCCCAGTCTCTGTGTCGTACATGATGACGTCATTTAATGCCTGCCAATTTTTATCCAAACCACCAACGACGATGATCATATGACCCCAAGTGACTGTGGACATTCCAAAAACAGGCTGAGGTAACGATGGACATGGCTTGAACTCATTCTTAATCAAATCATAAACAACAACGCTGTCAAGAGCATCTTTACTATAGATGGTTGTTGTTCCACCCAAGATAAATAGTTTTCCATTAACAAGTTCTGCTCTGGCATATCTTCTTGCTTCAGGCATTCTCGTCAGCAGCTTGGCAGTATAAGGTGGGGTAAGAGCAATCTCATAAATGGCATTGGATGTTTTTCTTTCTTTTCCGTCATATCCTCCTATTATATATAATTTTCCTTGATAAACTATGACGTCATGAGCATATAATGTGACAGGCAGTTTACCATCAAACATTGTCCATCGCAAAGGATGTTGGTTCATCTTCAAAACTTCGATCTTGTCAAGTCCTTCTTTACCATCGTAACCACCAACGACAAGAACGTCATTGCTGTAAACACACGACGCTGATGCTGCTCGAGGATGACTCAATCGTGGCAGCGAAGTTGACTTTCTTTCTACTATGTTGTATTTCTCGACTGTATTTAATATTTCGAAATCTTTTGGCCCGTACCAACCACCAATAATAATAACATCTTGATTATTTTCTACAGTTGCTGGTTCCCTAGCGCTGGCACCATTGATTTTGTTGTTTAAATTATTTCCTTGCAATAACTGATTCATCATTTCCGTCATTCTTTCCAACTGTTGTTTCACCTCAGCTTCAAACCTCGCTTGAGATCGTCTCATCTCATCAACTTTTTCCTAAATTGGTAAATTTTAAATGTCAAGAATTACATGTTAAATAACTTTTTCCTATCTTTACATAGGCTACAATGATTGGTCGGAACGTTTCAATTAAGTAAATATAACATACAATAAGCTTAAATTAAGATCTTTCCGATAAAACTTTAAGACACGTTTATATTATTCTAAGGAAGCAAGTACTGTCTTACCTTCGTTTCATCTTGACTTACTTTCATTTGATGCACACAATCCTGAATTGAAAAACACTGTATTTAATTCATATGCTTTTTATTAGTAAACGAAACTTTTAAAGAACAAAGGAAATCTCTTGCCTTAATTTTGTTCCATTCTGATTTTATTTTATCTTGACTTGTTTTAATTTTACGTTGAGATACTTTCACTTCATCCACAGAATCCTAAATTAAAAAACACTGTATTTAATTCGTATACTTTTAATTAGTAAATCTGTTCTCATTGCAGAACTCCAAAAGAAGAAATTGAATTTTCTTGCCTTCATTTTGTTCGATTCCACTTTCATTTCAGCCTGAGACTGCTTCATGACTTCAACGGTTTTCTTAAAAGAAAAATTTAAATAACTTTTAAATAAAAACAGTACATTAGCTAGGGTCAGTTATCTTTGTAACAATGTTTTTTTCTACGACATCTACAAAACAATCGAATTAGCTTTTTTAAAAACCAAACAAGAACAATCTTACCTTTGTTTCTTCTTGACTTGCTCTAATCTCTTTACAGTCGTGACACTTGGCGATTCTAAACTCACAAAGATCTTTCTCGTGAAGATCTTTATCTCTTTTATTCACCTCCATTCCACATCCTTCATTCTTGCAAGTCACGGGTGCAAAACCACATTTATCAACATGATTTTGTAAACTCTCAAGCAAGACAAAGCCTGGACAACCTCTTTCGCTGTATTCACACTTGATTTTCAGCCCTGCCAGAGTGTTCTTCATAAATCTCGGAGGATTTTTCAGGGTTTCTGGAGTGAGATGTTCTCTGCATTCAGGACACGTGTGAGAATGACGAAGATGTTCAGAAATACAGAAATGACAAAATGCATGTTCTTTATGGCAAGTTCGAGGGTTTCTGAGCACTGCTTGACAAATAGAACAGAAGAGATCTTCGCTGATTGTTCCTTCAAAACGTCTTTCATCATAACCTTGTTCATCGTCCCTCATTCTCTGAGCCATTTATGGACGACTAGAAAATAAATTATGATTTATGGATTATGGCTTTGGTTGTTCAAATTTTTGTTCCATCGCACGCGGCGGCAGTTTAAACAAGTTGCGAGTTACAACATTATTACAACTTGTTGTCAGGTTTGCTACAAATGGGTTGGCGAAAATATAGTTTTGTTTACTTATGTAACAAGTAAAG